TTAGTCTGGTCTGGTTCCTGCTCTCCCTTTAGGGAGGCCAGCTGTCTACTCACCACTGTGCCTTTCTGAAAAGCAGGAGTTCAAGCCTTAGCAAGTCCACAGTGTTGCAGGAAGTCAGGGACCACGAATGGAGGGACAGGCTGGAGCTGTGGCAGAGGAACATAAGTTGTGAAGATTTCATGGATATTTATCACTTCCCTAATAATACTCTTATAATTTCTTACCCCCGTCTTACTTGAATCTCTTAATCCTGTTATCTTCATAAGCTGAGGATGTACATCACCTCAGGACCCCGTGATGATTGTGTTAACTGAATAAATTGATTGTAAAACATGTGTGTTTGAACAATATGAAATCTGTGCCCCTTGAAAATGAACAGAACAACAGTGATTTTAGGGAACAAGGGAAGATAACCATAAGATCTGAGTGCCTGTGGGGTTGGGAAAAAAGAGCCATATTTTTCTTCCTGCAAAGAGCCTATAAATGGACGTGCAAGTAGGAGAGATATTCCTAAGTTCTTTTTGTAGCAAGGAATATAATATTAAGCCCCTAGGAAAAGAATTGAATTCCTGGGGGGAGTTCTATAAATGGCTGCTCTGGGAGTGTCTGTCTTATATGGTTGAGATAAGGACTGAAATATGCCCTGGTCTCCTGCAGTACCCTCAGGCTTATTAGGGTGGGGGGAAAATCCCACCCTGGTGAATTTGGGTGAATTTGAGGTCAGACCAATTCTCTGCTCTTGAACTCTGTTTTCTGTTGTTGAAGATGTTTATAAAGACAATACTTGCACAGCTGAACATAGACCCTTATCAGTAATTCTAATTTTGCCCTTTGCCTTGTGATCTTTGCTTTGCCCTTTGTCTTGTGATCTTTATTCCCCTTTGAAGCATGTGATCTTTGTGACCTACTCCCTGTTCGTACATCCACTCCCCTTTTGAAGTCCTTAATAAAAACCTGCTGGTTTTGCTGCTCAGGTGGGTATCACAGACCTTCTGACATGTGATGTCACCCCCAGCAGCACAGTTGTAAATTCCTCTCTTTGTACTCTTTCTCTTTATTTCTCAGACCGGCCGACACTTAGGGAAAATAGAAAGAACATATGTTGAAATATTGAGGATGGGTTCCCCCGATACCACAGGCCCCCAGCAGATGATGAGGACATTGTAGACTCAACATCTCATGCCACTCATTTCCTTTGATGATGATCCTAGCAGCCATTTTTCTTAACATCTTCTGTCACTTTCTCTCAGTGGTAATGAAAGGAATTCCTGCACAAGTTTTAACTGAACAAGAAATCCCAGCAAAAAGAGTTCTTTCTGCTTCTTTGATTGTGGAAAACACACTTCTCCAAAGCATGACCTTATTCTTCCAAGCAGTATTGCTAGTAAAATAGCATGCTGGACTTCAGATCTCAGGGATCTTTTCCATGCACTGACCAAGAATTGTTTTAATCCTTTTTACTGTTACGCTTTTTTACAGTTTCTCATTCTGTCAACCATATTGGAGTGAAGTGGCATAATCATCACTCACTGTAATCTCCAACTCCTGGGCTCAAGTGATCCTCTAGACTCAACCTCTAGAATAGCTGCAAGTACATGCGCATGCCACCATGCCTGGCAAATTGTTTGATTTTTAGGTAGAGAGTGGGTCTTCCTATGTTGCCCTGTATAGAGAATTAATGGGATTTCATCCTTCCGACATGTTATATTTAATAATAAAACTAGGGATGTTGCTAGATATCTTTTGGAGACAGAGACTTTAAAGATCACTCTTAATTTACAAGCAACCTGGCTGTCAGTCTTCACCACTGTCCTGATGTCCCGGGCCGGCAGGTATTCCTGCCTCTATCCCTGCTTCCAGAATGTGATGCTTTCTGGTTTGTCCCCAGCCCACTCCACGCTTGGCAGTGGCTTTTCTCATCATTCTTCAGCCCTGAGCATGCTCACTTCTAGTGAAAGAAATCCTCACTACAGATACATCTCTATTTGTAAATGTTATTCTATTCCCCCATAGACAAAAGATCAGAAGCAGAATATATAAAGAACTACTAGAAATTAATGAAATCACCTAATTCTTCAGGAAATGCTGTGAGCAATTCAGAGATCCTAAAGAAACCTGTGAAAGCTTTCATAGCTCTGATACAATCAAGAAAACAATGGTCTACCCCGTATACTCATCTTACCAACAAATTTTTTAAATCTGTCTCTACCAATTGGTGGATAGGAAATGGAATATCAGAGACTTCTTACATTGTGGGTAAGAGGCCAGACTGAATCACTTTTTTGATGTCTACTCAGGTAGTATCCAGGAGAGTGGACGCTGTGCTTATCCCACTAACCAGCAATCCCAGAGTCAGTTCTGGGCTCCAGACATGTTCCAGAGAACATGGAGATACTAGGATGCTGACTGTGCTGTCCTTTGTCATAGCGAAAAATTAGCAATGAAATATTCAAGTATAGTACAGAATGCTTTTCAATGTTGATGAAAGATTCCTGTTTTGCTCTACATCAGACTACAAAATCCAAACTAGCAAAAATGAAACAATTCAAATGCTGGATGAAAATGTTAAACTTCTCCAACATGTTAGTGAGCATTTGTGATTTACACACAATAAAAATAACCACATCAATCCAGATCACTTTCCATATTTCCAAAAATATACAGATCAATCAGTGGGACAAATACAACACCATAGTGTAGATATTTAGGAAAATAAGGGGGTAGGAAATGCCCGCATCCATCAGCTCCCTGGTGATGAAAGACATTCTTAGAACAATTGCTGAACCCAGAGTGGTGTCTTAGCATGAGATGGTCGCAATGTCTGCAGTGAAATCTAATTTGGAGTTTGCACAGGGGTTATCTGGAGAGTGTCCTGGTTTGCAAGGAAACCATAGTAAAGTATGGGGCATGAGGTGGCATCTCTAAGATGGGGTGTCAGTGTGACAGCTCACTCTCAAGTAGTGCAGGAAGAGAAGTTCTCCGTAATGTGCTTGCGACCACTCTTCATTCTATTGTTTCATTTTTTTTTTTACTAGTTGAAAATAGAAATTGAAGAAAAACTTACTTTTCAGAAATTGATGTGAAAGAGTGAATACCTCCATAAATGCAGCAGATCTCCTACTCCTCCTGCAAAGCCAGGGCCTCCTGGTATTTTCCTCTTAACCCTCAGCCTCAGGCAGCTTCTCCTGCCCCCTTACCCCCTGAAGGCAACCCCCAGGCCCCTCTAGAGACTGAAGCAGCTCAGGCCCAGGGTCCCTTTGTCACTTTCTAAATACATGGCCTGATCCAGATGAGACTCAGATCTGTGAAGTGTTGGATTTCCATGGGCACAGGAGCTGAGGGAGGGTTCTCCTTCCATATAGGGCTCACTTTACAACACAGCCATCAATGGTCGCCCAGGTTTGAGTCGCTGGCTGCACCCTTTCTCCATTCAGCTCATCCCTGTGGTCACTTCATCCACCCACAACTGAGGAACCCCCAGCACATCCTCGTCTCAGTAACCATGGAGGCATCTGGAACCATGGGCAGAAGTAAGAGGGAGGTGGGGGGCCCAGTGGCCCCTGGCTGCTGTGGAGGGTATAGCCTGGGGTGAGGACTGGGCAGAGACCATGAGTCCCACTCTGCCCCCAGCCACTCAGCTCTTTCCTCATTAAATGAAAAAAAAATAGGCACAGACCTCCCACTCCACACAGTCTTCATGTGGGGAGAAACTGCACCTGGTGACCTTCAATCCCCAGGGCCCTGAGGCTGTGGGAAAAGATGGGAGGCCTGGGGCAAGCCCAGGGCCTTTCTCTGCTTCAGGACAGGGGCATGGGATGGCAGCCACCTCTGTAACTGAGCAGGGACACGGCAGCCTAGAAGATTCTGGCCTGATGCACTAGAGGCTCTGTCCAGGAGAGGCCACACAGAGGGTTGTCTGGAGGACAACAGACACGGAGTTAGGCAGTTCTCAGACTTGAGAGGGGTAGAGTTTGGCGGATCCCAGGATCTCTGTGTGAGAAGAGCCACCCATGCACAGGGCTGGGGACAGGATCCCGGGTTAGTCCTGGGAGGAGGCCACTGGGAAAGCCCTGGCAGCCTCCAGTGGCTTGAGGCTGGGTAACCTGGGTCAGTGACTGGGTGAACAGGAGGAAGGCAGAATGCTGGCAGGACAGTCCTGGGCAGGACAGCCAGGTAACAGGAGGAGGGGCCTCTGTGCACACCTGGGCCCACCTGCCTCACTCCTGCTGTAGGCTCCTGGCCACCAGACTCAGGTCCACCCAAGCTGGGAATAGCAGCAGCCCAAAGGTGCTAATGGCTGTGATCTAGCAATCATGCACCTCCTCCAGCAACCAGGGGGACACAGGACACACTTATCAGGAATCCAGAGTGTTTTCTAGACTCACAGAGGATGGTTTTTCTCTTCTTCATCAGGTGTACCTGACATGATTTAAGTGGTGGTTGGAGGCTGAGCATGCAACTGAATGAATGAGACACTTGCGGGAAGGAATGGGGCTCAAAGGAAAACTCAGGTACAGAAGGGGAGCTGGAGTGGCTCCTGGAACTGATACATGAATTCAGTCAAGTTTCAGGATACAAAATCAATGTACGCAATCAGTAGCATTCTTATACTCCAACAACATTCTAGCTGACAATGAAAGCAAGAACACAATCACATTTACAACAGCCACAAAGAAAATGAAGTACCTAGTAGTTCATTGACCTGAAGGGATGAAAGATCTTTATAGGAGAACTACAAAACACTGCTAAAAAGAATAAGACAAAACACAAATGAATGGAAAAAATATTTCATGCACATGGGTTGGAAGAATCAATATAGCTAAAATGGCCATACTTCCCAAAACAATTTATAGATGCAAAGGTATCTCTATCAAAATACCAATATTGTTTTTCACAGAATTAAAACAATCCATTCTAAAACTTATTTGGAACTAAAAGCAAAAAACAAAGTTCAAGCTGTTGAAACAATACTAAGCAAAAAGGAAAAAGCCAGAGGCATCACATTGCCGGACTTCAAACTATATTATAATGCTACAGTGACGAACACAGACCAACGCTGGCACAAAAATAGACGCTTAGAACAGTGGAACAAAATAGACAGCCCAGAAATCAACCTGCACCCCTACCGCCATCTAATCTTCAACAGAAATGAGCAATAGGGGAAAGATCCCCTATGCGAAAAATAGTGCTGGGATATCTGGCCAGTCATATGCAGAAGAATGAAACTGAACCCCTACCTCTCACCATATGTGTAAAATAACTCGATATGGATGAAAGATTTAAATATAAGTATTAAAACTGTAAAAATCTTGGAACATAATCTAAGAAATACAAATGTGGACATAGGGCCTGGCAAAGATTTCATGGAGAAGACACTAAAAACAATTGTACCAAAAACAAAAATTGACAAATGGGATCTCATTAAAAGAGCTTCTGCACAGCAAAAGAAACTAGGAACACAGTAAACAGCCTGTAGAATGGGGGGAACTATTTGCAAACTCTGCATCTGATGAAGGTCTAATATCCAGAATCTATAAGGAATTTAAACAATTTGACAAGCAAGAACAAAAAATCCAATTA